GAACCTAATTATACACTTTAAGAAATGTCTAAAACCTTGAAAAATAAATTAGAAATATCTTTCATGAGATTACACCCTTTTAGAACATTAAAAGAATAAAAAATCTAACTGCCAAATGCAAATTGGTCTAGAGGACGTGTCCTGTGACTCTGGCGGACGCATCCTGTAACTTTGGCCTAGAGGACGCGTCCTGTAATCCTAACGGACGTCCGGTACGATAGGTTTGCCCAACGGTCTGAAAATTAAACGTTCTGACTTTTGAAAAAAAAAACAGATAGTTGACCGTCCGGTAAGCTAGAGGACGTCTGGTAGCCTCGTCCGGTAAGATATAACTTTTGACGATTTTGCTATCATATCAGTTTGCATTCAAGACAACAACTCCAAGAGCATTAAAGTGATATTTTCTTGAGCTTAAATATTGCTTTATATTCTTTACTCATCTCTATTCATTCTTGAAAAACTTTTGATTGATTCAACCTTTGATAATCATCTCATAAAAGTTTTCATATCTAACACTTGAGCTTCAATTATTGTTATTTACTAAAGTGTTAACCTCCTTTTCTTATTGTATAAATCATTCATTACAAGAGAAGTCTCTATTTATAAACTCTTTATTTTCAAACTTGTGGGTCGGGTTGAAATCCCGAAAATTTTAACGTTGTAAAAGAATGGTACTCCTTACTTGTAAGTCACCGGAAGCATTGTAAGAAGGTTTGAGTGCATCATAAGTCAATCAATATAGTGAAAAAGGCCTTGCTCGAGACGGAGAGTTTGGTAACAGGGGACGTAGATCATTGCATTGGATCGAACCTCCATATCATATCGTTTGACTTCTCTTCCCTTTTACTTATCCTTGTTTTTATTTATTACTTGTGAATTTGTCTTAGTTTCCGTTCCTTTTCATATTTGACTAATTGCTACATTTAAATGAGAATTAATTGTATACATAAAACTATTCTTCGAAAAAGTTACTATAACTAATTCACCCCTCTCTTGATTAGCTAGTCTTAGGCTTTCAACTCCCACTTCCAATTCCACTTCCACTTCCACTGCAACTCCAACCAACCACATTTGCACCACTACCACATACCCAATGATGTCACGCCACCACCACCATTACTACCACCATCTACTTCACCTCTACCACACCACAACCACCACCCCAACTAATAAGGCCACATATCCAACCTTGCACCTAGGGATGTCAAATTGGCTCGGTGGCTCAGGCGGCTCATGGCTAGGATGGAGCAAGTCTAGGCTCGAGCCGAACCCCATTTTGGAGCGTTGGCCCGAGTGCGAGCCGGCTCGTTGTGGCTTAGCGAGCCACATGGGCCAAAATGGCCCGTGACAAGGCCCGCCCGAATTTAAAGATAAAAAATAATAATAAAAAAATAAAAAATATATTAATGCATATTTAAATAGTCATGCTGTCGTTACAGGCAGCTATATTATAGTTGCCTCTAGATGGTGCTGCCTTAAGGTAGCTATAAAGCTGTCGTTACAGGCAGCTATAAGGCAGTACCTATTGTATTTTATACTTTTTTTTACTGTATTTCATAATTCAATTTACGAGATTAATATTTGAAATTCAAATTTGAATTTCAAATTTGGAGGTAAAATTAATTTTTTTGGCTATAGATACGGGGTAAATTTTTAAGTTTCAAATCAATTTGTTTCAATCGATTTTAACTTGCAGTATTATGGATTCAAGTTTTAACTCTAATTTTTTTGCTCTCAATCTCATATTCAATTTCTTTCACTCTCATACAGTCATATTCTAATATTCTGTATTTTATACTATACTAGTTATAGATGAATTTTACTAATGAAGAGTTTAATTAGTTTAAAGGTAGCTTGAGTACTTCATCCGGTTACGATGATGCATCTCGAAATATTCCAATTAATTTAAAGAATATTGATGAGGAAGAAGTAATCGAGATTAAAAAGTCGAAAAAAGAATTCTCGAATTATTGGCAACATATGACACGTAAAAAAGTTGGTGTTCAAAATGGAGTGGATATTTGGAAAGCATTCTGCAATTACTGTAGTCAAGAACTTAGTTGGAAGCCCAGTTTGAACACAACACATATTAAGGAGTTGCAAAGCGAAACCAGTTGATCTCGACTCAAAATAGACCGAACTAGTGTTTGACGATTTTTGTTCTACTCTTTCCACCTTTGTATATTCACAGGAAAAATTTCGTGAAGGAATGGCTGCATACGTGGTTGCAGCAGAGATGCCGTTTACGATGATAGACTCAGTACACTTTACCCGACTCGTGCAGAAATATCTCCAACCCAGGTATTCTTCTTATTTTAGAAATACTTTTCGTTCAGATACTATAAAATTATATAACAAAAAAAATAAGTTGCTATTAAAAGTCTAAAAACTTTTAATAGTGTTATATCATTTACATCTGATTTATGGACCGGTGGTAATAGAAAATATTATATTATTGCTACGGTTCATTATATTGATCACATGTGGCTTTTACATAAAATGATTATTGCATTTAGATGTGTAGAATATCCTCATAATATCACTAACATATACATGGTTTTAAAAGATATCATACAGGAATATGGTACGCAAGATATGATTCGAAATTTTACTTTTGATAATATTAGTGTGAACAAAGGTGTTATCGAAAGATTTATTAATGAACTTAACCCTTCATTAGAAACTTTATTTTTTTTATCAACGTTGTGTATGTCATATTATCAATTTAATTATAAAAACTGAATTAGAACATATAAGTTCTCCTTTAGATAAAATTAGACAAGTAATAAATTTTATTACTGTATTACAAGTAAGAAAACAAGCATTTAATAGTTTGTGTGCAGAATATGGCTTGCAGGAGAAATCATTTGCCACTGTTGTAACACATAGTTGAAATTCTACATATCTTATATTACATTCGTGTGAAAATTACGATAAAATGATTTCATTATATTATAATGGTAGGCATACATATGGACCCGAACATAATTTAGAATATTGGGAATGATCTCTTACATTTCACGTGAAATAATTTTTAAAATCTTTTTTGATGCTACAAAGGAATGTAGTGAAATTTATTACTCTACATCTTCACTTGTTTTACAACATTTTTTCTACATTTCACAAACATTTCATAAATAAGGAAATTTATCCTTTTTCTGACTTAGTTTGCTCTATAGAGTTAAAATTTCGTAAATATCGGGAATAATTGCCCTCTTTATTTATTTAGCTTCAATAATTGACCCTCGACTTAATTTGAATGGAACAATAGCCACTATAAAGGGGATTTCAAATTTCATGAATGTGGAATTATTACATGTGAATATAGAATCTGCGTTATCTGAAATGTATAATTATTATGCTAATAAAGAAGGCCAGCATAGTTCTACTTCCCAAGGTTCTTTTTCAAGAAATATTTTAACAAATTCAGATAATTTATGAAATTTTTTGGAAAGCAATACAAGTGTTCCTCGTTTAGTTCTAGTTCATCGATGTCTAGAGCAATAAATGTCGGTGGTACAAATTTTAAAATTCCCTCCGAGTTAGCTAGGTATATGCGTGTGGACGTTCGTAGTGTGTTACCTGAAAAATAATTAAGTGAATTTAGTCTTCTAAATTGGTGGAGGTGTAATGAAAGATAGTATCCAATTGTATCAAAAATTGCACGTGATCTACTAACACCTCCGGTGTCTACGATAACATCGAATGCTGCATTCAATTTAGGAGGTCGAATTTTATCAGATGAACGTTCAAGACTAAAGAAGATATATTGGAGGCTTTAATATGCTTGAAGGATTGGGAATGTACAGAATTACGTGTTCAAGAACATGTTGACAAGTTAACTGGTCGAAGAGTTGCAACAGATCCAAATATAAAATGTTGTAAATTTTTAAAATAATTTATTTCAAAACAATATGTAATTTTTAAATTTATTTGTTTCAAGAAAAATTGCACACGAAATATTTTATTCGTATACAATTTTAACTCCGCATACGTCATGTAGCCGGTCCCAAGCCCCAAAAAAGGAGGAGGGTTGTAAGTTGTAATTTTTATTTAATTTGTAATGCAATTTTATAAGTTGTAATTTTTATTTGATTTGTAAATCGTATAAATTATGCAATTTTTAAATTTTTTTTAAGAAAATGTTAGATTTGTAATCTTGTTATTAATAAATAAATACCCTCCATCAATTACTTTGACAAATGGAAGAGAAAGTAAATTTGACTCACTATTTTGGTGCAAAGTTTGAAGCCCATTGGAGAGGTTTTGCACCAACTTTTGGTGATTTAGTGCATCCCCTAAAATCCCCAAACAAGCCACCACCTCCTGCACTTGCAATACACCGCAAAATCCACTTCAAAACTCTGGACATTACAAAATCAGAAGAAGAGAGAAACAATGTCAGGCGGCAAGAAGGCCTCTGATGAGCGGCGAATGTAAAGGAATTTCCAATTTGCCTCTAATCCATCGCTTACAATCTCGAAAAAATGTAAAGGGAAAGTCAGATGACAAAAAGGTCAGTGATGAGCGACAACGAGCATCAAGCGCACAACAACGACAAGTGTCGTGTTGCAACCACTAAGCCTTGTTATCGTGCATTGCATAGCGACCGTCACCACCAAAGGGCGTGGGGGACGAGGATCGGGTTGTGAAAACAAATTGAATTATGCTATACGTACATCAAAGTGTTTGTGAAGGTGTCCACCCACCTCACGTGGAGGGGGATTCACTTCGAACAAAATATAATTCATCTAAAATTAGTCCTCCTCCATGTGAAGAGGGTGGATACCATTATAGATATCGCATTATGTACAAATAGCATATTCCAAATAAAATAAGGTTTGTGATGGAATGGGATGGGATGGTTTGGATTTTTATAGACCTGATTTGTGAAAAATAAAGATTAAACTTAAAATCTGATGAATGAGATGTAAACTTTGAAAACAGGTAATGTGTGTAATTTCGTCTTGTATGCAGGGCAAACTTGGGCATGTCTTTAGCTCCGAATTGGACTTCCAAAAACATTCTAATGTCACTGAAGAACCACGCAACACGCTTCAGTCCATGGACAAATTTTCCCTACACTTTTCACGCTACAAATTTCGCTTAACCTCCTTTCAATTTCGTCAGTGGCACCACCTGACTGCACACTCCTTCCGTTCTTTCTCTTCAAACAATTCGAACCCACCTCCTGTAAACTTCTCTCACATCTTACAGGGTTACATTCCACACCCTCACCTGCTCCAAATCCATGCCCGTATATTCCGACACAATTCCCACCAAAATGACCTCGTTGCAACTCGTCTCATTGGCCATTACCCTTCAAATTTGGCCTTGAAAGTGTTTAATTGTTTGGAGAAACCCAACATTTTCCCTTTTAATGCAATTATTAGAGTGTTGGCCGAAGAGAGCCTGTTTACAAATGCGTTTTACGCTTTTAAAAAGCTGAAGTCAATGTCCCTTTTGCCCAATGAATTGACGTTTTCTTTTATTCTTAAAGCGTGTTTTAGGGCCACTGATGATTTGAGTTATGTTAAACAAGTGCATTGCCATGTCGTGAAATCGGGTTGTGTTCATGATTCTTTTGTTTGTAATGGTTTGCTTGTGGTTTACGCTAAGAGGCTTAAAGATTTGGCATCAGCTCGAAAAGTGTTCGATGAAAGGCTCGAGAAAGATATGGTTTGTTGTTGGACTTCTTTGATTTCTGGGTATGCTCAAGTGGGGTTATCTGAGGAAGCTTTGAAACTATTTTTGCTAATGATTAAAGAAAACTTGAGGCCTGAAAATGATACCATGGTTAGCGTTTTATCTGCATGTGCGAACCTTAATGTTATAAAGATTGAGAAATGGGTGAATATTTTGATGACATATATAAAGGATTTTGGTTCCAATAAATTTGGTTTTGATTATGTGAATACAGTTCTTGTTTATTTATATGGGAAGTGTAAAAATACGGAACAGAGTAGGGAAAGATTTAATGACATTACTGAAATTGGGAAAAAGAGTGTGCTTTCATGGAATGCTATGATAGGGGCATATGTTCAAAATGGTTGCGCTTCAGAAGCTGTAAGCCTTTTTAAATTGATGATGCAGAATTGTATTTGTCGACCCAATCATGTAACAGTGGTTAGTGTGCTTTCAGCCTGTGCCACAGTTGGTGATTTAGACCTCGGCACATGGGTGCACGAATACATGAGAACTAGTGGGCATAAAGGTGTGCTATCTTCAAATGTAAATCTTGCCACTTCATTGATTGATATGTACTGTAAATGCGGGAGTTTGGTCAGGGCAAGAGGGGTTTTTGATCAAATGATTGAGAAGGATGTTGTTTCATTGAATGCCATGATAATGGGTCTTGCACTAAATGGTGAAGGAGAGGAGGCTTTGATGCTTTTCTACAAAGCGAAAGAGTTTGGCCTGATTCCCAGTTCAGGAACTTTTCTCGGTGTTTTGTGCGCGTGTAGTCACTCGGGATTGTTGGAAAAAGGGCGTGAAATTTTTAAGGAGATGAGGCAACGATATTCTGTTACCCCACGATTGGAGCATTATGCTAGCTACATTGATCTCTTATCACGAGTAGGTTGTATTGAGGAAGCCCTTGGCGTTGTCACCTCAATGCCATTTGAGCCCAATAATTTTATTTGGGGTTCTCTGCTTGCCGGCTGCACGCTCCACGACAAATCAGAATTGACCCAAATCATTTCTAACATGCTTGTTAAGATCGATCCTGAGAATTCTGCAGGCTATGTCATGTTATCTAATGCATTTGCTAATGATCATCGCTGGTGTGACGTTTCTGAGCTGAGGTACTTCATGAGGGAAAAGGAGGTGACCAAGCAGCCGGGGTGCAGTTGGATTAGCATCAACGGAGTGGTACATGAGTTTCTTGCTGGATTTGCGCGGCGTTCTCAAATTGAGAGTTTACATTATACACTGGAAGGATTGGTCAAGGAAATGAGATTAGCCAGTTCATAGATTTTGGTTCCTCAAATGTCAACTTCATCGAGGAAGAATGTACTGACTCTTTTGACATTCTAGTTTCATTGATACCTAACAGTACGACTAAATCTTCCATGCCTAACATGCAATAAGGATTTTATACTTTACACCATGTGGTTGGTATTTTGGAGTCAACCCACTATAGCTCAATACATACATTTTCTGCCACTATTGTTTCAGAGGCTATAAGTGTGCGATAGTTGCCTTTTTAATCAAATCAGTGTTCAACCATCAAAAGTCAAAAGTTTGACTAATAATGAGCTAAAGAGAGAGTACATTTTTTTATGTTTGCTTTTTCCTTTACATAAAAAAAGTTTTTCCACCTTTCAAATCTGGATACCAAAATCGCCTCCTAATATTAGATCACTTTCCCTGTATGGATAAAGATTTTTTGTACTCAAATATTTGTACAAAATGTTTTACGAATGATGCTATGGGTACATCATTTTTCACGACAAGGTTCACAGCACATACACATGCATGGATGGGGTCCACGATTAAAATAATCGCGGACCCCACATTTGTGAGAAAGCTGTGAAAAAGGCTGTGAGGGAAATGCTGTGCAGTCAGCAATTTCCATGTTTTACTCACTCTCACATATATTTGGATCCCACATGAAATAAAAAATGCCAACGTGTGACCCCCACCTTCCTATTGTGAGTGTAAGTAAATCATTTTGTACAAAAGTGTGTGTACATCTAGCATTTTCCTTCATATATTTTGTATTAAATGTTGTGTTTTATATATATTTTTTTTTCCATGTTTTACTCTCTCACATACATTTGGACCCCACATGAAATAAAAAATGCCAACATGTGGCCCTCACCCTCCCATTGTGAGTGTAAGTAAACCATTTTGTAGTCCCTCGGGGCACATCCCAACTGGCAAAGGACGAAGTTTTTCAAGGCGGGCAGTTCAGAGGTCGCGGGTTCGATTCATGGGGCTCTTGGAAGGCAGACTTTCTCCTGGAAGGCAAGACGCATACATGGGTTTGACTCGTTCGGCACTTTTACAGTTCAGTTGGGAGGACTCTTGGACTCTGGTCAGTTTGGGGCACAACCCGCAGTTTACCTGGTCTACGTGAAGAGGGGCTGGATTGTAAGCTCCAGGATTAGTCGCTGTAAGGCGGATATCTGAGTATAAAAAAATAAAAAATAAAAAGTAAACTATTTTGTATAAAAGTGTGTGCGCATCTACCATTCTCCTTCATGTATTTTGTATTAAATGCTGAGTTTTATATTTTTTCTTTGCATGGTAATTTTACTTGTGTACTGTAGTCCAACAACCTGACGAGAATGAATGATTTGCTGTAATTTTATTTTATATTTTTTTATGCGTCAAACCAAACATAGTTGGGCCAAAAACATTCTTTTAATATTTTTTGTTGTTGTTTAGGGCAATGCAAAAATTGCTAGAGCAGAAGTCCATACCTCCATTTTCATGTGCAATATGGAATTTTTTTTTTCTCAATTTTTGAATAAATAATTTATGTGCAATAATATTTTGCAATTTACCTGGATGTATATATACTTTTCTTTTCTTCCCTCAATTATGTACTTGCAAATAATTGTTATTTCATTTAGTTTGTAGAGAAAATATAGCATAGCATTTACAAATGTTACCTTATTTTATAGCATCTATTGAATAGAGTAGCTGATAACTCGGTCGACATGGCAAACCCCAAAAGTGGACATTATGTTATACAACAATGTATAGTATACGCCCTCGGGATCTTCTTGTACAAGAAATAAAATTATATACGTTAAACTAATTGGAATATAATCAACAGTTCAGCTCACCAAACTTTCCTCAATACTGTGTAGACCATTATCTAACGGGTCATGTTACATGTACACTTTTGGTGTACACAATTCTTTACACCCTCTCCATGTGAGGGGTGTAAGATTTTATGTCTACTAAAAAGTGTACATATGAGTTATAAGTACACAATCTTTGCATCGGAAACTTTTCACAGACATAGGTGTCAAAGCATCATTCAAAGAAGGGAAAAAAACATAAAACACGGACGGATAGGATTTTTCAATTTCAAAATCCTGCTTGAATTTTGTAAGTTTTCCCTAGGAAAAATCTGTGTACATGTAATCTTATCCTTATCTAGCAGTCTGCTGTTATATTTGGGGGACGAGGCTGTGCTCTAAAATAAAAATTTTCTTGGATTTCTGGTTGTTGCTTTTAATGGTGTAACATGTATTGACAAATTGCTAATTTTTGTAATGATTTCTCTCTGTGGAATCAATTTTGGAGGTCTCGCTATTCTAATTTTTCCATGAGTTATGCATAATTTGCCTGGTACGAAAAACAAAGGAAGATTAGATGTCTTTCAGAAAAAACCTTTCAAATATCTAGTCATTTTACATGAAGGAAAGGAAATAAGGAAAAACATCATAAATCACATGGTATGCTGAACTCTCAACAACAAATGTAAATAAAAGTTTTATGTATGAAGATTTGTTCATACTTTTCAGTTCTTGCCACCAGATTCGATAAAAAAAAGGGACTCAGTCACCACCAGACCAGATTTCCTCTGCAGACGCCATATTTCCAGCAGAGGGACAGCCAACTTCAAACATAAAATCAGTGGCCTCGATCACTTTGAATAGAGAATAGAAAGGTCACCTCAAAACAGGGTAGAGAATCCAACTGCATTACTATAGATCTGCAAAGAAATTTTCCGAATTGCTGAAATTTTGCCCTTTGCTTGCCATTTTCGTTTTGGTCCCTGCAAAGGTAGCCAAAGCACACAAAGTTCAAACGATATTTGAAGAATTCATGTGTTTTTACTTTTTTCTGTCCCTTGTGTAATTATTTTATCAGTGTTTTCTATCAAACAGGATGCTTCTCTCATGTAATGCGACTGAAGTACATTCTTACGCATAGTATTAGAACAAGGTTCATATTCCAAGCCATAGAAATCTGATATACCTTTTGAAGGTTTTTGCATACCATCATCGACTTCCATCTCGTCACTGTCGCTGTCTGCCACAGCAGAATTATTCTGTACTGAACCTTGCAGTAAATCCTCCATATCCCATAGCTATATCCACAGAAGAGGAGGAAATAATTGAGCACAATAACTTTCTAATGTGGATCAAGATAACTTTCGAATCTACTACAAAATAGATATTTGAGACAGAGAGACGTGTATGCACCTTTAATGTCTGATCATGGGATATACTGCCAAGAAATTTTCTATCATGAGAAAAGGCTGCAGCACCAAATTACACAAGTTAGAGATACAACATCTAAAGGTTGTAAAATTACTATGATTATAACTAATTGAAACATATGAATGGGTGATGTTGTGAATGTAATAAAGGAGATGAACTGATTTACTCAAGTAAAACGAAAAATAAAAAAACCAGTTGTCCCCCTGAATAAGGTGAATGAAAGTCATACCAAGACGCTCCACAGGATATTCTGAATGCTCTGCAATTGGCTGAATTATTCTGTTTGGCAATATGCCTATCAAGCTAAACAGAGAATAAGAAAAATATAAGTTCAATCTACAGAAGAATTCATAAGTTAGTTGGAGAAACTAGTCCTTTTCTGAGGCAAAACATTTCACCTGATAATGCCATTCTCCGAGCCAGCGATTACTCTATCTTCATCAAGCTTAAGCCCAAAATCAGGGATAGAAAAAAAGATGATTTTTAGGATTCAAAGAGGTTAACTGCCTGATAAAGCAAAATAAAAATTATGCCATAATAATGAGAAAACACTTACCTTCAGCAGTGCATCAACAGAGTTAGGAGAAAGATCAACGAAACGATCACTAAAAATTGACAAGACAGGGACCATCAGAAATGCAATCAGCCACTACCATTGTATTCCTCACCAAAGATAAAATTTACAACTTTATATGTTGTTAGATTACAATTGTACCAAAGAAAAAGGATACCTGCAATCCTTGAAAAACCCCCATGAATACAATAACAGGGTTCCAGTCTGTGTCCCACATATTACCTTTCGACCATTCTAGTCACAGAAATAAACAGTTAGACACATCTAAAACTAGTAACAAATGTCTAGCTTTATCTAATAATAAGCAATCAAAGCAAAGTATTCCTGTTATTTTATTGGCCTATCTTTTGAATGCAATGGGTAAATTCGACCTTCATGATCACCACAGAGAGAAGTTCATCCTCAGAAAACTCTGATCGAGTTTGAACCTGAATTCGGATAATACAATAGATATTTAGATATCTACTGAAATAAGTTGACGGCTAGACGAAAGATAAATTGGCTAAAGGCATGGCGGCTGAATACAACAGGAATTTAAAAACACCGAATGCTGAATCAACAAAAATAATTACCTTGTTGCTTCTCAGATTGCAAACAGATAGAGTCCCATCACCACTGAAGCAAAAGAGACATAATTTGAATATATTAGTCAAGCCTATGGTAACATATAGTTCAGGGGATTCACTGACTAAAAGTTGGATGCAGGCCTTAAGATGAACATGCTCGGACGAGAGATTTAAAATTGGCAACATTTAGAAGAGACCACAACATTATGGCTTTGCATGGTATATACAAGACAAAGCATTAACAATAAAAAGGAACGGTGAACAGACATATTGTAAGGTATGAAAAAATTATGAAGGAACCAAAATGCGAAACTTCTAGTCCATGCAATCGTAAGACCAACAAGTAGAAGAATACTAAAAATCGGTTTGAAATATTGAAGGCACAAGCTTTCAGTCTAAACTCTAAATACATTTTACATCTTTCAAATTTGAGAAAGAAAGAGAAGCCATGACTACCTCGTTCCTAGTAACTTCATGGAATCAGAGGCAAAAGTCATATCTGATATGTATTCCTCATGAGCATTGAAAGTGTTGCAGCAAGAACGCTGCCGGGTATCCCATACCTATATTACAGCGAAAAACCACATTATAGAAAGAAATAAAAGATTTAAATCAAACTTCCACAAATTATTAAACTACACGGGCTCAACAATTGATGATTGGCAACAGCACATGGCATTCCCTTGGGAAAAAACCGCAAGAGGAACCAATAAAAAATGCTGGCGTGATGCATAATAGAGCTTTTAGTCCAACTGAAAATATGGTAGTTGTTCGCTAAGCTATACAGTGAATACTATCATGGCTCCTGCTATTTTAAGGTCAGATAGAAAGACGAAGAGGAGAAATATCCAATATTTTATGATGACGGTGCATGGATGATATTAAGAAATAAGATGGAAACACGGCTTCCTTTGCTCGCACCTCAACGTGAACCAGTAAGTGATAGGATAAAATACGACGAGATGGGTGTAACTTAACCACATATAAGGACAAGGATTTAATAAGCTGCAAGACAGCAATGCTTTTCAGACCTTTCATGTTTAAAGATAATTGAGTAGATATATGAAGACAAATCTTTCTTCTGTAAAACAATTTAATTTTTTATGTAAATTTCTTGGACATTCCTAGATCTCAATATGGATAAATACAACTTGTTGTAACTTGTTTTCATCTGTTTCACACTTCTAGTCATCTCAGTCGACTAAGATATTATATCGTAGCAAGAAGAAAACAAAAAATGGGAGATCAATTTTCCTCATTAAATTTCGACCTAACTTTCCTTGTCACATAAAAAGTTTCAATTTATACATAATTCACCTTGATACAGCCATTGTCGTCTCCAGATGCAATGGTTGATTCAGTTAAATTGATTATTCGATTCACCGCAGCCCTGTATATAAATCAATCACTTTGACTTAGTATGTATTTATGTTCATTAATATAGAGTATAATTCGTCAATGGCACATAAAATTATTTCGGTACCAACCCATGAGAATTCTCCAGCCTCACAATTTCAGATCCTGTTTCAATATCAGTGGCAAGAATAGAACAGTCTGGAGAACCCGTCACAATTGCTGAAAACAAATTGCGTTGCAATCAGTAATCGTGCCCTGAATCCAATCTACGTAAAAGAACCTACTTGAATAGTAAAAAAAGAATGATGCTTTAAATAAACTAATTACCACGCCCTTCGCTGATAAAGCGGAGTGCTCTACATGATTCCGTATGAGCAGACACTTCCAATAGCCTAATTATCAAAATTAACAGCTAAACCAATCAGCAAAGCGTAGAAATACAATAATTCACGAGTATACCTAGTATACCTACAAGTGTATGTAAACATCGGGTATTAAATTTCACCTTTGCGGTTGAGATTCAGCTGCAAAACGATACCTAACACAACATAACATAAATAATTTATCACTCAAAAATATTTTACTTGCTAAATCTTCGCTTTCGGGACCAAAAAGAAGCAGATAGACGGATTGAACTTACAGCATAAGCTGACCGGTGATTAGCCCTGCAGCAACGAGATTATTGGAGGGATGAAAATCGAGGTCAAATGGAAGTTTTCCCAAATCTATCTCCATTACATAAAGTTATGAAATATGTATTGACAAAAAGTGAATTTTTATGTTTAAATATGAGGGCTTTAGTTCAGGGAGGTCATTGAAGATGGTGAATTTTTGGTGGCAGGGTTGGGGTAGAGTTGCAGGGAGGACACGGTGGAGGCTTAGGGTTTAGGAAGAAGATAAAAGTTGAGTAGTAAAATGGTATTTTAAGAAAATAAAAAATATTATACATGGTCATTGCTCATTGTAGTTTGAACTTTTTAATTATTATTTTCAAAATATGTTCAAAAGTTATGATTTTTAGCCCCTATTTCACCATCATTATTTTCACATTTTTGTTTCTACGTATTCAATTTTAATCACGTATTCACATAATATAATATTTTACACGTAAATTTAAAAATTTTCTTTACTTTTTAACCACTCATTCTCCTAAAAAATACTATTTAAAATATATGTTTTCTACAATTAATATTTGTCAAACAAAGGTTTAATTGAAATTTGGCTTATTGACACAAAACTAGCCTACTTGCTAAACATGCTATGAAGAGCCTTCTACCTTTTAGAAATAGCACAAAAGGCTTATGTTTGAAACCTTGGGTAAGATATAATCCTATCGTCCATTTTCTCAATAAAAAATGGTGAAACGATGAATATACGATCCATGTATATAAGACAAAAAGAAAATAAAATAAATGAAAAATTAATTAAAACCATGGTCCCAAGATTTTTGAAAAATTACAATAAGCCCCAAATAAATAAATAAATAATCAAAACTAAAAAAAAAAAAAGAAAAAAAAATCAATTCCTCTTCCTCTTTCTCTCACCAATCAAAATGTAAACTAAAAAAATCTGCCACCCCTCCATCCGCAAATCTTCAACGAATTAAACTACTTGTACGTTTTTTTGTATACATCTTGGATGACATTTCAATACGTGTCAAAATCAAGACCATTGATTGTTTTTTATGTATTGGACAAAATGGCAAAATTACACGTGATAGAATGTAAACCAAAATGTCAACTAGAATGTAAATGTAGCAAAACTGATCTTCAACACCCACACCTACCCAACCTAATCCCACCCACACTCTCCCAATCAAGTCGCCATCTCCACCACCACGTCCTCTTGATAATATATTGATTGTTTTAGAATAAACTCGATCGTTGGATGACATTGTTTTAGAATTAACTCGATCGTCAAATGACTTGTTGAGAAAATTAAAGAAAAAGAACTAAAAAGGAATGTATCTTCAAAGTTGGTGACCAATAAGCAAAGAATTGGGAGATGAAAGAGATGCAGTTAGTAAGAGTCTTGAGCTACATGTATAAGTAAATTCGGGGAAAAAGTTGAGCGAAAACCAAAAAGGATGCCTTGCGATTGCAAGGGAAACACCCATGCGATCGCATGGAAATGTAAGAACTAGCAAGTAATGAAAGCCTACCATGAGATCGCACGGTTTACATGGGCAGCAAAATTTTAGTTTTCTAATTTAAGTTGGAATCACCATGAAAAGTAATGTGTGCATGGTTTTAACCTAATTTTAGACTAAATTCATGTTCTTCATCTTGTAACTTGGAGAAGAGATCTAGGGAAAGAAATTTGATTATTTTACATGTACATCAAGATTTACACCTTGATGTAAATAATGCCCAAACGACATTTCATCATTGGTTAATCAAAAAAACTGTTTTTTCACCCGCCAATGATGAAATGTTACTTGACTATTATGTACAAGAGGGGTGTAAAACTTGTTGTACCTATAGCATGACCCAAAGAAATTATACAAAAGCATAAGTATAAGCACTTTAAAGATTCATGGATCGAGAATGAAGATTTCAAGCAAGAAGATTGTGGTATATTGTAAACTCCATTGAAGGGATTCAAAGAGACGAAAATTCATCTTCAATCTTTTTTGTGCAATTTGAAAATTTGAGTGATAAATATTTATATGTATTTTTGTATTACGAACATGATAAGGTAGGATGATTATGTTAGCCGTTTGTTGATGTTTTAATTCAAAAATTCTTTTTTTTATTCTCAATTTGTATTTGATTGTTTGATGTCAATGCTTAAATTAATGTTTAATTGAATGACCAACCTTTAAATATTTTTTGCAATATTTTGAAATCGACTTGGACATTAAGAATAATTCTACTTGTACCTGTTACTTGACACGGTACTTGATCGAAAGAGGTGGATTTATTGACTAAAAAATCAGAATAACTCTTGTATAAGAAAGCTGGTTGCCACTAAAGAATAAAAAAGTATTTATTTTGAATCCTAAGTAACTAGGCCTCATTTACCTGACCCTATACGCCCAAAACAAACTGTGGTTTCTCTTACTTTCAGACAAAGCATGAAATACGCCCCCTCTTCTCCAAATTTCACCATTTGCAGCGCCAAATACTTTCAGAGAGATATTGGAAGGAGTTAATTGAAACATGGCAGACGAAGTTGATGTGTATTTTCTGATTTTCTTGAAAATGCAGTGTTGGTTGGAATGGATGACTTTATTCTTGAGTTAATTACAAACTTGCATTAATAGTTGTTGAAAATGTAAATGTATTGTGAAGAAATCATTGTTTTGGTTCAATGTTGGATGGCATTTTTTATGACAAAAATTTATAGATGGAGGTAATGAGTATTTTTTTATATTGTCAAAAATGCGATGTGTTGGATGTTCTTGACCTTATTCTTCAGTGAATGAAAAACTTGTGTTACTAGTCATTGAAACTTTATGTTTGCTGTGAAAACATAATTTTCGGTTCAATGTTGGTTGACATTATTTTTTGAGAGAAAGTTACAGTTCAATTCAATAATTTCATGACGAAATTTACATGTGTTATGAAAAAATCATTATTGCAATTGATTTTACGTTTACGTTGCAGGGAAAGATATGTTGGAGAATGTGGATGACATTATTTTGGTAGAATCTGAGTCTGAGAATGTCGTGAAGAAAATGAACTTATTAGGTGATGAAATTGTAGCAAGAGATGGTGTGCCTTTGCGAGTGCCCGAGGTCGGTATGGAGTTCAATGATGAAAATGAATTGTTTGACTACTACAAAAAATTTGTGTACGCCGAAAGTTTTCCAGTTAGGAAAAGAAATTTCAAAAAGGACAACAATGGTGTTGTGAGATATGTCACATTGACATGTAGTCACGAAGGAAAAAAGAAGTAGTACTACAATTGGTTCTTTGAAACTACAACCAACCATTCAGACATGTTGTAAAGCAAGGTTAACTGCATCTATGGATATTCGTGGAATATGGAGAATAAACACAGTAAATCTTGAGCATAATCATAAAACAAGTCCATCCAAGTCGAGACTATATCGATGTAATTGAGAGTTGAACGCTCATGTTAAACGGCGGCTAGAAGTTAATGATATGGCAGGAATTCCATTACATAAAAGTTTCAACTCTGCAGTAGTCGAAGTAGGTGGATATGAAAATATGACGTGTATGGAAAATGATTGTCGAAACTATGTTGAACAAGTTCGGCATCTGAAACTTGGAGAAGGGAACGCTGCAGCAATACAATCATACTTTTCGAAAATGCAAGCCGGTTGCATTGGGTTTTACTTCAGTATAGATCTGGACTAAGATTCGAGGCTGAAGAATGTGTTTTGGACAGATAATAGGAGTGGGCAGGCAGATAAAGAGTTTGGTGATGTTGTCACATTCGACACCACGTACCTCACCAATAAGTATGACATGATGTTTGCCCCTTTTATTGGAATTAATCATTACGGACAATCTACCCTGCTTGGCTGTGGACTGGTATTGAATGAGGATACAGATACATTCCTCTGGCTGTTTAGGACATGGCTGCAATAAATGCATTGAAAGGAATAATTACTGATCAAGACAAGGCAATACAGAATGCAATTGAAATTGTGTTCTCCGATACGAAATATAGATGGTGTTTGTGACACATATTGAAAAAGTTACCAGAGAAGTTTGGATACCACGTGGAGAAAGGTTCAATTTTCCATGCTATACACAGTTTGGTTTATGATTCACAATTTGTTCAAGAATTTGAAGATGGATGGAGGGTAATGATTGATACATATGATTTGCAAGATAATGCATTGTTGTTGGGACTGTATGATAACAAATGTCAATGGGTTCCGTGTTATTTCAAAACCAGCTTCTGGGTAGGAATGTCGACAACTCAATGCAGTAAGAGTATAAAGGCGTTCTTCGATGGGTATGTGCATTCGAAAACTTCGTTAAAGCAATTGTCGAATAATACGAACAAGCTTTGAAGAATAAAGTTGACAAGGAGATTCAACCAGATTTCGAGTCTTTCTTACAAATGGTGTCATGTGCGACGAGGTATGAAATAGAGAAGCAATTTCAAGCTGTATACACTGTTGCAAAATTTAGAGAAGTTTAAGAAGAGTTCATGGGAAGCTTTATTGTGACTTAATCTTGTCTTCGGAGGGAAGTTTGGAGACAACATATAAGGTATGCGATGAACAAATAAACGATGAGCAATCTCACCAAAAACATTCTTCGTATCTTTTCAGCAAGAAGATTGCCAAATTGTTTGCAGTTGCCACCTATTCAAATTTTGAGGAATAATATGCAGGCACATGATTGCAGTGTTGATTTGTAATGACGTTCAAACAAGTACCGAATAGGTATATACTATGGAGATTGCAGAGAGATGTAAGTAGAACCCACACGAGGGTTGCAGTTCATTACGATAGGTTGACTAGTACCACGGGGCAGTTGAGGTATGACAAACTGTGTCAATCTTTTGCTCCGTTGGCGGACTTGGTCACAGACGGTGAAAGCGGAGCTACAAGTATAAAAAAATGGATCGAACATAAATATCAAATGGTAACGACATCGAAGTCTAATGTTGTTAGTAACATCATGTCTTCATATAGTACACTGCTAGCATCACAATCTGGACCATTACAAAAAACTATGACTAGTGGAGTACGTGATCCTAAGTGTGCCAAGAGAAAGGGTGCACCGAAGACTTCGCAAGAAGAGCCCGTTGGAACCTAATTCAAAGAAAGCAAAGGTTAATACACTAATATTACCAATTGCTTATGGGTTGTTTACTTAATATAATAAATTTGTTGGGATGTTAAGCAGGGGAGTTCGAGTACCTCCAAAGGAAATAGCTTGAAGGCACGACCAAGTAATGTTGGAGTTGAAGCACATATCGTTCAAGTACCCCAACA